AAAAAAAAAAAGATTGACTATTTTGTTGTATATGTACACCCTTTTTTATCCATTCATCAATCCACTTGTCGAATATTGCATTAATTTCTGTTAACTGAATATGCCAAACATTTTTTTCCTTATCCACTTATTGAATCTTTTAATGTTTCGATTTTGTAGGTTTTGTCTGTCAGAAGTAGTATTGAATGAAAATCTTCATTACTTTAGCTTTTCGTGTGTTTTGACTGATTTTCTTAACCTCGTTCAAGTAGAGAAACTAGTGAATATTTTGAAAGCTTTTGTGAATAATTGGCATATTGCCATTTCCAAGGTTCTGTTTTACACTGCCAGAGTATTGATTTGGTAGGATCATTATCCATGCCAGGCGTTATTAACATTTTAATTTTTGTAAATTGTGGTAAAATACACATAACATAAAATTTACCCTTGTAACCATGTTTAAGTGTATATAGTTCAGTAGTATTAAGTACATTCATATCTTTGTGCAGCCATCGCCACCATCTATCTACAGAATCTTTTCATTTTGCAAAACTGAAACTCTGTACCATTCTCCCTGTCATCACCCCCTGGCAATCCCTATTCGACTTTCTGTCTCTTAACAATTTGACTACTCTGTGTACCTCATATAAGTGGAATCATACAATATTTGTCTGCTTTGTGACTATCTTATTTCACTTAGCATAGAGTCTTTGAAGTTTGTACATGTTGGAATCTATGTTAGAATCTTCTTCCTTTTTAAGGCTGAATCTGTATTGTAAATATTTCTTCCTTTTTAAGGCTGAATGATAAGCAAAATGTAGTTCATCAAAATTTCTTCCCTCCTTCCCTTCCTTTTAATGCTGAATATGTATTGTGAATTAACTACATTTTGCTTATCATTCATCTGTCAGTGGACTTGGGTTGCTTCTACATTTTTGCTATTGTGGGTAATTCTGCTATGAATGTGGGTGTATGGATCTCTCTTTGAGACCCTGCTTTCAGCCCTTTTGGGTATGTACCCAGAAGTGGAATTGCTGGATCATGTGGTAATTCTATTTTTCGTTTCTTGAGGAATTTATCACTTCTTTTTTTTTTAAAGATATTATTTATTTGACAGAGAGAGAGCGCACACATAAGTAGGCAGAGTGTACACATAAGTAGGCAGAGCGGCAGGGAGAGGGAGAAGCATACTACCCTGCTGAGCAGGAAGCCCAGTGTGGGACTGGATCCCAGGATCATGACCTGAGCTGAAGGCAGCCGCTTAACTGACTGAGCCACCTAGGCACCCCTGTCATCTATATTTTTTGATAGTTAAGAGTCAGTATTTTGCTTTTGTTGTTAGATATACAGTTGATCCTCATTATTAGCAAATTCTGTATTTGTGAATTTACCTACTTTTTACAATTTATTTGTAATCCCAAAATCAGTGCTCATAGTTATTTGCTGACATGAGCACAGAGTAGCAAAAAATTGGAGTTGCCTGAAGTGCATGTTTCCAGCTGAGGTTAAACAGGGTGACACTGCTTGTTTGGGCTCTTATTCTGTAAACAAGTGTCCTTTTCCTTGTCTATTTTGTGCTGCATTTTTCACATTTTTGTTTATTTGTTGGTGATTTCACTGTTTAAAATTGTCCCCAGGTGTAATGCTGAAGTGCTTCCTAGTGTTCCTAGGTGCAGGAAGGCTGTGATTGCCCTCTGGAGAAAATGTTATATGTTAGGAAAGCTTCATTCAGACAGTTACTGTTAGCTATGATTTCAGTGTTAATGAATCAATAATATACACTAAAAAGGTGTCATTAAACAGGTACATACATAAAACAAGGTTATGTATTGATTGGTTGACAAATATTTTGTGAACACAGGCTCCTACGAATCTTCCCTTGTCTTTCCCCTGGCAGCGGTGGTTTAGTATTTGCTGATTCAGTGTTCTCAGCAACATCGTAGAACACAACTTCTTCAATAACAAGACTTGACTGCAACTGTACTCATCTCTGTTACCTACCGTTACCTACAAGAGCACAAATTCCTTGACCCCTGAGTGCTCAGCCTGGTGTCTGGCACTCCCCAAGTTCTCAGTTAGTATGTGAATGAATGTTTACTTATTGGTTGTTGTTATTTTGTGAATTTATGTTCGCTTCTTTTGCCCTAATACTGATCCAGTGTTACTGTTTTTCATGTTTGTAGGAATATGTAGGAATAAAATATGTCTTTTGTTTTCTTACAGGTCTGGGATAAAAGTGAAAGTGGGGATTGGCATTGTACCGCTAGCTGGAAGGTTAGTATTTTTACAGTGCTTTTTAAAAAATTCAGATGTTTATTATTTATTTGGTATTATCAGTGACTTGCTATTTGTCTTTGAGAAAATTGTAAAATGTATACTTCTTTTCCTAAAGTATCTTATGTTTTTTAACTATTAAAGTAACAAAAATATACTTCAGAATTTGAGAGTAGGAAAATGTGCAATTCCGTAGCATTCTAATAGAACTATTTTTAGCATTTTGGTATTATTACTTACCTTTTTCTTTGCATATATATATGTATGTGTGCAGATATATATATATGTATATATATATGTATGTGCGTGTGTGTGTATATATATATATATATATATATATATATACACATACACACCACATCTTCTTTATTCATTTATCTGTCGATGGACATCTGGTCTCTTTCCATAGTTTGGCTATTGTGGATATTGCTGCTATAAACATTGGGGTGCACAGGCACCCCTAATTTAAAGAATATTAAAAAAAATTTTAGAGCTTTTAGGCTCAGTCAGAAGAGCATATGACTCTTGATCTTGGGGTTGTGAGTTCGAGCCCCACACTGGGTGTAGAGATTACTTAAATAAATGAAACTTAAAAAAGTTTTAGAGCTTTTCTAAATTGATTGGCTTTTTATAGATAGTGAGTATTGTTTTTGGAGATGAGTCTTTTTGACCTTAAAGCAGTTACAGTTGTTATTAGTAATCGTACCCGCAACTCACAGATTTCGGGCCTGTCTGTTAAAGTATCAATAACATCTTACTTTTTTTTTTTTTAATTTCTTTTTTAAGAGAGGGAGAATGGCAGGGGAAGAGGGGCAGAGAGAGAATCTCAAGCAGGCTCTGCCCAGAGTGGAGCCCAATCTGGGGCTCAACCTCACAACCCAGAGATCATGATCTGAGCCGAAATCAAGAGTAGGACACTTAACTGACTGAGCCACCCAGGTAACCCAACATTTTATTTTTAGTTTAAAAAAAAAAAGGCAAGTAAAAAAAATTGCAGAAAGGCTAAGTCATTTCTCCACCTCCCTCTGCAGGTTTCTGTGCAATCCATCAGGGGACATCTGGGACTAATTATTTTGAAAAGTTTCCAGGCTGCTAATCTCACCATGCCCCACATTCTTGTCATTTCTCATTTCTGGCCATAATCCAAAATATAAACCCTTTCTGCAGGCTTATTTTTGAAATTTTTTTCTATTTCCATTCCCCCAACCTAATATTCCACCGTTTCCCATCCTAATTTTACCACTAAGCCCTCTAGAATGCCTGATAAACAAAATACCCTAAATCGCTAAAGTCTCTGCAGAATAGAGGCATCCCCCTCTTTTTGAAAGTTCATGTTACACCACTTTGCTTTTATGCAAGACCTGTATCAGTACCTGTTTTGCTAACAGAAAACAAAAATCTAAAGGGGATTTTTCCTTTTACAGAAAGAGGTGAAAAGTGAAAATAACATTCAGTGTTTGTCTTGCAGCTAGCTGTTTATAGAGGCAGCAGTAACTGGGAGCATCAGTGGCAATACAGAACTTCTTCCCTGGAAACTACACAGCATCTGAACATCAAGCTGCCAGAGCTTTGAACTGTCTGTGTGAGCATCTGTGCCTTATGTTGATTTATTTTGTGCATCCATTAACAACGTGTGACCTAAGATGGTATCAGAAAAGCCTAAGAGAATTTATTTTTTTGGGTCTGAGACCGCTTAAAAAGTTTCCATGGAAACTTATGGTAATTGATTCTTCCCTGTATGCCATTTCATCTTAGGAAAGGTTTTATAGAAATGCTCTACTTTCAGATAGGCAAGGGAAATTCTGGGTTTGACAGAATCATTGATTTGAGGGCTCTTTTTCACTGGTCTCTTGCCAGGGTTTTGTTTTTGTTTTGCTTCTTTATTGAGAAATCTAGCTCCAGAGTTCTCGGTCTTCCAGGTCATTTTGGCTCCTGCCATTTTCTTAGGTGACTTGAGTTTCTTCACGAAGAACTTTCTAATTTCCAGTATCTTATTGCCCATATCTTGGTTCTTGACACCCCCAAGCCTGTTCTGTGAAAATTTTATAAACATTTTGATGACTTTGGATCCTTACCTTTTCTCTCCTTCACACCAGCTCTTCGACCTCCATAACCCCTTGGTTTTTCCCTCTCAACTCTATCCCTCCTCTCTTTATTTTTAGGCTAAGCCTGGACTCTTTCGGCATATTTCCACCCTTCCTTGCTCCTTAATTGTCCCAGCAAAGCGCCCTTCCGTCTTCACTTGCTCTGAGCCAGTGTCTGGGTAGGGGGTTAGACACTGACCAATACTGACTCAAGGCCCAAGTCTGTGGATGTTTTTTCTAACTTTCTCACTTTTCCCAATTATCATACTTTAACAATAAATTCTTTTAACTTTCATTACAGCACAGCAAAGTCGAGCCTGCCAGGAATAGAGCCTTCCCGCTCCAGTGCTCTTTCAGGAGGCGCAGGCGCAGTCGCTCTCCCCGCAGCCTTTCGGGGCATGACGGGTAAAGGGGCGGGGCGCAGCGCGGGTTGCGCGCGGACTTAACGCGCCGTGCGCGCCCTGTCGGCTGCGGGGTCCTGGTGGGCTGCGGTCCCCGCGCCGCCGCAGCCGCCCTCTTCGGTGGTGGGAGGGGCAGACGAAGGAGGCGCGGCCTGACGGAAGCCATGTTTGTGGCGCGCCACATCGCGGCGGACCATAAAGATCTCATCCATGATGTCTCTTTCGACTTCCATGGGCGACGGATGGCTACCTGCTCCAGCGACCAGAGCGTCAAGGTGTGCGCGGAGCCTTGGGGCGGGGCCGGGCCCGGAAGGAGGGGAAGTGAGAGTGTGCATGATTATCTGTTAGAGCGGAAGGAGCGGCGCTTGGAAAGGGGACTACCCCCCGATTTTGAGGCGCGCCGCTGGGCACGAGATTTGGAGCCCAAGGCGAGCCGGCGGCTGGTGTGCTCCTCCATCCTTGCCTCAGTATTGTGGGGTCACAGCCGCCCCCCCGCCCCGGGGTGGGAGGTGGCACGCTGCCTTGCGCCTGCGCGGAGGAGGAGGGCGGGCGTCGTGGCCACGTGCGCGCTCCCGCCACTGGGGGCCTTGGGAACACGCGTGTTCCAGCCCGCGCAGGCTCGGGTCCTTGCGGGCAAGAGCCAGTGAGCCCTTCAGCCTTGTGTGCGCGAGGGATTTGTCAGACCGCTCGGGTTTGGGAATAGTTGTCTTGTTACCACGCTGGTTCAGCCAGGGGACTTTGCCTTGCGACTTGTAATGCAGTCAGTTCGCCTTGTTGTCTCAAGTGCTGTGTGACTTGTCCCCATCTTGGGGAGATTATTCTCTCATTATGTTCAGATAGGAAGCTCATCTCTTTTCGCAATGGAAGAAACATAAATCCATGTTTGTTTCTTACAGTTCGTGTAGATGCACACTGCTCTGACAAGCAGAATTTCTATGATAAGAGGATGGTCTTTGGGATTTAGGAACTTTAGAGATTATTATACAGTAAATGATAATAGTCTTGAAGACGAAAGCTGGAGTGTGGATTATGTGTATTCTCGACGACTCCAAAATAACTGAAAAGCTGAAGGACAGTTTTTACCACTTGTTTTCACAGACAAGTTTGGTACTAGTGATCCCTCAAAGATAGTTAATAACAACTAGGCTTGGGGCGCCTGGGTGGCTCAGTTGGTTGAGCATGGGACTCGATCTCAGCTCAGGTCCTGATAGCAGAGTCCTCAGATGGAGCTGCGTGGGGCTCTGAGCTCAGCGGGGGTCTGCCTCTCTCCTCCCTCTCCCCACGCACTCACTCTCTCTAAAATACATAGATACATAGATACATAAATTCCCTTCTGAAAAATAGCGTTGTAATTCCTAAAAGATTTAAATTCACTTAAAAATTTTTTTAAATTGTGGTAAACTAACCATCTTTAAGTATATTTTATAGTTAAATGGCATTAAGCACAAATTCCATTGTTGTGCAACCATCACCACTATTCATCTCTGGAACTTTCTTTTCATCCTAAACTAAAACTCTACGCAGTAACTTCTTCCCCACTGCCCCCAGCCCTTGGTCACTTCTAATCCTTTCGTCATAAATTTGACTATGCTGGGTATCTCATACAAATGACTATGCTGAGTATCTCAATATTTGTCCTTTTGTGTTTGGTTTATTATGCTTGCCATGATGTTTTCAAGGTTCATTGGTATTTGTAACATGTATCATAATTTCATTAAGATTGAGTAACATTGGGACATCTGGGTGGCTCAGTAGGTTAAGAGTCTGCCTTGGGCTCAGATCATGATCCCCGGCCCCCCCCCCCGACCCCCCGGGATGGAGCCCGGTGAGGCTCCCTTGCTTAGCAGGGAGCCTGCACACTCTCTTCCTGCCGCTTCCCCTGCTTGTGCGCACACTCTCTGACAAATAAATAAAATTAAAAAAAAAAAAAATTGATGGGGCGCCTGGGTGCCTCAGTCGTTAAGTGTCTGCCTTGGGTTCAGGTCATGATCCCAGCGTCCTGGGATCCAGCCCAGAGTCAGGCTTCTCCCTCTCCACCCCCCCCCCCATATTCTCTCTGTCGCTGTCTCTCTGTCAAATAAATAAATAAAATCTTAAAAAAAAAAAAGATTGACTATTTTGTTGTATATGTACAC